TCGCTTTCCGTGCTGCGGCGGGATGGAGTAGAGGTCCCATCAAAATGCATTCCAGCATGGCAGTGGGCACCAGGCACAAACACTGAGCCTCAGGTCCAGCCACAAGGGTTTGCAAATGGCCACTGAGCTTTTGTAATTTAACAAAGCCACACAGAAATGAAAATCAACTTAATAAAATGACAGCAGAATCCAAGTACATGGGTGAGAAGCACAAAGAGATACAGCTCAAGAGCTTTGACATTCACATCCTGTGTATACACTTCACGCACATTTTGTGTGCATTAGAGTTATAGAACATAAAGTTCAAATATTCTTGTGGACAACTGGGTGTAGTGAAGACAAACATAGCTTATTCCCTGAACAAAAAATTACCCACATGGCAAGTTCCTGTGGAAACAATAAAAATAATCCAATTTAGTTATGCAGCGCTTACCTTCCCCTGCCTGTAATTAGTGCTGCTATAATGGAGGAGGTGGGGGGGGGGACTGCACAAACTGCAAACATGGAATTACAGCTGGCTGCTGATGAGGACCAGTTCCCTCCCTCATCTGTGATTTCCTGCGCCGTCTCTTATTAGAGATATTTAACTTGCCTTAATGCACTAAGGTCTCCTTACCATGAATCCGGTCATTGTTTTCCATATTCACTCCATGGTGTAATGCAGGAAATGGGTTGCCCAAAATGCGCTCGTTAATTAATCTGGCATATTTTCACTTATTTGTTTGCTTGTTTGTTCATAAAAGGACTCTGCCAGAAACAGTGAGACCTAAACCTGAGGATGCCTGCATCCTAGTGAAACCTGTGCACATCAGAGGCACCTTGCTATGGGTGCTCATGACATCCGGCCCACTGTCACCAGTCAAGGATCCCTCTCCAACCTAAAAGAGCCTGGAGGCGGCGGGGGTGGGGGTGGGGGTGTCAGAAACCTAAGTTTGAGTGGAACGTAGGTATTTAACAGAATGAATTCCTTCCCTTACTTCAGAGGGGACAGTTATTATCAACCTCACATTGAAGTCTGACTTGCATGACCTTTGTGTAGTCATAAGCTGAACAAAAAGACTTAATAAAATGACAACAGAACCCAAGTGCATGGGTGTTCTCACAAAGAGATACATCTTTGAGGAGATGGCAGAGTGGGAGGGGGCATAATCAGAGCTCTCCACACTTGTGAGGCCCCTGCAGGGCTCTGGATCACAAAGGAAGGGGGCTGGACTTGGCCTGCCTCACTGGTCTTCTGCCTGAGTGGACCATGACTCCCAGGGGATTGGAGCATCCACATGCTGATGAGCAGACAGCTGCTCTGGACAGTAGGTGGAGGTGGCAGTGGTCAAAACACAGTGTTAGTTCCTCATGTCACCGAAGAGTCCCACGGGCTCCCCTAGAACCAGTGTGTGCTCCAAAATGGAGCTAGCCCAGAAACACCTCTGGGCACTGGACATAGAGATAAATGGTGACACATCAGTTGTCCTGCTTCTACCCAGCAAGATGTACTGCAGTTTAATTCTGGTGGTAACCATTGGAAATGTGTATCAGACTCTACAGGTTTAAGAATGTGATCCCCAGAAGAGTTCCCCTACTTCAGAGACCAGCTATGTGTAAGGTCCTTAGGTCATCCTTTTGATCAACTAGCTACAAGTTCAGCAGTTTTCTTTTTCTTTTTTTGTCTTTTTGAGACAGGGTCTTGCTACGCAGTTCAGGCTGGCCTTGAGCTCACTTTGTAGCCCAGGCTAGTCTCGAACTCGAAATGATCCTCCTGTCTCAGGCTCCCGAGTGCTGGGATTACAGGCATGAGCCACCACGCCCGACTAGTTCAGCAGTTTTCACAACCTCTTCATGTTTGTTATCACAGAGCACAACTTTATGGACTAAATCGCCTAGGCTGGGCTAGAACTTTCAATCCTCTTGCCTCTGCCTCCTGGGATAATATGTATTCCATCATGGCCAGCTGATGTTCAAAGTTTTTATTCAATATGTAGACAGTTAGATCATTGACTATGTGTTGTAATTCGCCATGAAAAATTGTTGATGTGTTCCCTAAACTCCTTATCCTTACCTAATCCCCCTTTTTTTTCTATAGTATTTTCTAACAGCAATGATTTTTGGTTTTTGTTTTTTGGTGGTTTTTTTGTTTGTTTGTTTGTTTTTGAGACAGGGTCTTGTATTACTTAAGGCTGTCCCTGAACTTACTATGTAGCCCACACTGGTCTTGAACTTGCAGTGATCCTCCTGCCTTGGCCTCCCAAGAGCTGGGATTACAGGCATGTGCCACCATGCCCAGCCACTAACAAAATTTTTAAAATTATTTTTAAGATATCTTGCTGAGTCTCTCTTTATTGACGCATATTTGGTTCTGATGATAATTCCACTTTTAAATTTCCCTCTATGCAACAAAAGATAACCATATCAGGATGATATCTTAATTTGTTCTCAATGAGTAATTAAATTATATTTAATATGGACTGAACTAATGACTCCAAAACAGTTTTAGCTTGAATATCTTTGCCAGAATTCATGAAGACTAGTTAAGTCTTTTCTAACAAAAGATAAAAATTTTAATGTAATTCCCAGTTGCTTAGTCTTGCCTTTTATCCTAGAGGAATTAAATAAATAACCAAATGATAAAATTATAGATTATATTTGGGGCTTCTAGAGTTGATACAGACCTCTCCTTACCTACCAGTTCAGCAATATTTATTCCCTGATGTTGGTTACATGACCGCTCTGCATTTGAGCGCTTCCTCCAGGAAGTCCGTCTAGTTAGCTGGTGGGCTCCCAAGGCCTGGCTGCAGTGTCTGGTGGTGCTCAGGCAGCTGAGTGGGAGCTGAGCTCTGGAGTCCTGCTGTCAGCACTAATTGATACTCATGGGTAAAAATGAAGTGGTGTTCTTGGTAGCTGGCCAGATTCTTGCATGGGGGAAAAGCTGGAGATGCAGACCACAGTGCTGGAGTACGCTTGCTGTGTTCTTCCTATGCAGTCTGTGAGTTGTGGAAGTTTCTGCATTTATCATGAAACTTTGATAGGAAGCTACACTCATGGAAATTAGCACTAGTGCTTACTAAATTTGGAGTTCAAATGAATAAACAGTCATTTCTGGCCAGGGGTTTAGCTCAGCACCTGCTTGGCAAGTGTGAGGCACCACCAAACAAACAAACAAACAAAAACCAGTCATTTTTCTACTTAGTGATATGCATCTTTTTCATAACTTTGAGTAACTCATTTCTCTGCAAGTTTCATCACTAACCAGAATTATTGGTAACTGGCTTTCACTGTAACCTCAAGGCACAATAGATCCCATTATAACATATCAAACATATAACATATAACAAACATATTTTAGGCACCCATCCTGAGAGAAGGTGAGAGAGTTTTCTTCCCACATGCTTCTCTGGGCTTTTCTTTTGTCCAAATTTCTCCCACAATTTTCTTTTGTCTCCACTCTGCAACTAAATTACAGATGGACCCTGATGTCCTGGATAGATAGATCATTCATTAACAAAGTTAGGCTCTGGAGCTCTAAATTGCTGAGGAATCTGAGACACATACACAAGCCTCTTGTCGTGAAGTCTCCATCATGCTCCGGATGTCATTACGGTGGCAGCATAAATCTTTACCTGACACTTCGGTTCATAGGTCAATGGCTACAACTTCTAATTTTATATAAATTCTCTTGTAAGTATGGACAACAATGCAGATTAACTGAGATAATCTAGGGAAAATGGAGATGAAATAACCTTCTCGGAGTGAGATACGCCTGCTACACTTCACAATTTGGTATGGACCAAGTGGCAAATGTGCATTTCTAGATGGAACAAAATGTTTAAAATAATAAAAGAATAACATTGTTTCTCAGTTAAGAAACAATGAACCATCAATAATATCCCCTTGAAAAGCATTTAATTCATCTGAAAGAAAGAGAGCAGGCAAATGGAAATTTGATTACTATTCATTATATATCCTTGTGAGATGTTTTCAGAAACAGAAGAAACTAAATGAATAATTTTAAGCCAATAAATGTGATATATATGTGTGTATGTGTGTGTGTATGTGAAAATGACCAACAATAAGAAAGTTATTATGTGAAAATTAATACTCTAGCAAGGGTTGCAGACTGAGGGATTCATTTTCCATTACGGGTGATTATTGAGAAATTGTTGATTGTTTAAGGCCACAGCTCAGGAATTATACTTCTTCTGGAGTACATAGCTAATAAACATTTGTTGAGTAAATATAGAATGGGGAAGCAAATACGTGCCATCAGTTATAACTGCAAATCATAACTTCTGGTTTCTTCAGAGACTAATCTCCACACTGGTCTTTTTGCCACGCCCCTAGAGCTATCGTTGAGAAAGAACACCAAAGATTGCCCCATAACCTAGCCCCTCACAGTATAGAGGAAGGAACATTCCAGAAACCTTTTTGAGGAGCAATGGTAGTAAGATTTGACTCCAGAAGAGTCAACGAGAAGACAAGAATGTACCATGCCACTGTCACATGGTGATGGCAGAGGGGAGTCTTCTCTATATCCATCTGAATTGGAGAAAAAGTGGTTTGTGATCAAATGATGACTCTAATTCATGCCAAGAAAGTGAATATGGACCAACTCTGTACATGAATTTTGTTTTTAGCATTGAGTTGGCTTGCCTCAAAACAGTCACCTGTTGGCTTAACCTCAATGTTGTAAGCCACAGCCTCGTGGATGTGGCATTTGGGCTGACTGCAGCATGTACGGAGAGGCTGGCATGGGAGTTATTGTCCTGCATAACCTTAGCCATTTTGCTCAAGTCATGGCCGTGAGGCAACTATGAAAAAGCTGCTGTGGTTTCTATGGGATGTCCTCCCCAGTGCCTCAAGGGCTGAAGAGAAGTTTGTGAAAAGTGACTGGATGATGAGGGTATTATAAATCAATTGCATTTAGAAGGGGTCTGGTCAAAACAGTGTATCTTCTCTCCCGGCTCCTCCCTTGATTTCTCTCTGCTTCCTGTCCACCATGCCCTGAGCAGCTATTCCTCCGCCACGCCCCTCTGCCATGTCATCCTGTCTTAGAGCAAGCAGACCACCGACTGAAACTTCTACAAAAGGTGAGCCAAATAAACCTCTGCTCCTTTAACTTGCAGGTGTTAGGTACTCTGTCTCAGCAATGAAAAACATGTTGCATGAAAAAATACAGAAGTCAAACTTATTACAACATCACCTTTTTCTGCTCGTACCTGTTCTTAGTTGCTTATTCATAATGAGAATGAGTTTTCATGGTAATTTGGGTACATTTCCTAGACTTATGATAAACAGTTTACTTATGCAAAGTAGCTAGCTTTATTGTAATATATTTTCTACAGTCATAATTTGTGATGCTCTATGCCTTACTTGATCTCATTGTCTTGTAATTTTTAGGACAATATCTTAACCAACCAAATGCTTAAGCCAATAGAACTAATCATTATTTTGTGTCCACCAAAGTTTCCTGGCAATAAACAGGCTAGTGAATTATGTAGCTCCTAATACAAAGTGCTTGAGAATAGAATTTGGAGAATTGTAGTTAATCCCGTACTTGAATTTTATATTCAAAAGCCATCTCTTTCAACAGCAGCTGAAGTATTTACCAGAGATGTGATCTCTGTGACTCTCTGGCCCCTTTGATGAAGTATCTATGACCAACAAGCTAGGGCACTCAGGTAAGTGAAGGTAAAGCAAAAAGTGTGCATGTGAGAATTGCTAAAACCTGAAATGGTTCAGAATTGATTTCTTATTTGAGGGACATCTCCATATCTTTGTTCAGGAGGTTGCAGTTTTCAGTGGGCATTGCATTATACTTCTATTCCTCAGTATGGATCGTGCATTCAGAGGCTAGAGCCTCTGGTCAAGTGCTATTACAGAAGAAAGCAGAAGAGTCTGGAGGACCCATGTCTCAGAGAGAGGCAGCCAGCTCTCAGCTCCTGTTGATGGTGACCATGCTGAAATCAGATTTAGTGGCAATGAGGTTTTTCTACTTGTCAATGGAAGCTAGAAATCTAACTTTTCAATCAAATCACCCAAGTTTTAAGTCCTCAAAAACATTTTTGAATATTCTCTAGGCCAAATAAACATGAGTGCAGAATCATTTCAGACATGGGTCACCAGCTTGCAACCTTTGCTTTAACATGTTCTTGTAATGTCTGCTGACACTCACATCTCATTTGTATTTTTCACTACTATAAATTACTGTTTAGTGTGAAGCAAATGAAACATTGTTACATAGTAGCCTCCAACTTTCAATAACGAACAGAGATAATTTGCATCTAAATGTTAGCTAATACTGAGATACATCAATTTAAAAATTTTTACCAAATTAATGCTTTTTTAAAAAAGCAAGCTAGTCTTTTATTCTATCCAACACAGAATCAGTCTTAGGAACATTTTTGGTTTAATAAAATCAGCAACTTTATCTGTAGGCATTTCCTCTTTAATTTGAAACTCCTGTACATCTAAAGGAAATGTAATATGTCCATTTCTGGTTCATTTACATTAAATCATTAAAATGTTGTTTGATAAAAGCCTTTTGATGTCTATGATGGTTTTGGAAGTCATTCAAGAAACATTCTAGTCTTTTCCCTCTATAGTCACATCTTGACTAACATAAACAAGTTCAAACACCAAAGGATTCCGCTTCTAGGCTTTAACCCAAAATTTAAGGATTCGACTTCTACACAGAGACAAAAATGAATTATTCTTTCTCTAATTATCACTCTAATCATTTATTCTACCTCAAAGAGATGATGATATAAACTCATCAAACAAAGAATTCCCATTTTTACAATTACAAGTCATAGAATCCATCGGTTTGAAGTAGGACTCTGAGCTGAGGTCAAACGTTTGTGTTCTTAAAGGAGCATGAGCCTGGTACAATACAATTGAAAGCTCCTTTTTACTGTTCCTCTGAATGCAACTAGGCTGTAAGGATGTGGCATATGAGAAGGGAATATATATTTATGGGATGATTCTTTCTGTATGTCTTCCACATACATTGCTTTTTGTTCATTTTCAAGCAGACAAAATAGATCTTTTGTGAGAGATGGGCTATCCCCACATATTACAGAGAGCTGTCACTTAAAATTCAATTGTGATTAATATCACTTGCAAATTGAATACTGACTTGGTGCCTTTTGTTCCAACAGGAAATGCAGCTCTGTAGGGATAGAGGCAAAGAACATATGTAAACTCTTGGGAATGGACAATGATGAAATGACCCAAAGCATGATTATTCCTTGCTACTTCCTGAAATCTGTTCCTCAAATCCCCAAACTAACAGTTCTCTGAATTTATGGTTCACAAAAGTGTTCAAGGGTTTTCAGACCCCTCGCCTGACTCCACAGAAAGTGCGGAAGGGAGGGATTTCAAAGATGTGCAGAACTGGGTCAGCCAAGGTTCACTCCTTGAGATCTTCCAGATATTTATTAGGAGTTCATGGGAGGGGATGTTCATTTCTGTAGACACAGGATGGCTTTTCCAAAACAGAAAATGCAGGTACTTTTAAGTCTCTGGCTAGACTGAGATAAACTTGTCTGCTGATCATGGGTTTGTTCAAATGTAAGATGTCTAGTTTATTCAGAGGCCACCAAGCAAAACAGGAGGGAAAGTGGGAAGCAGGCCAGAAAGTTTTATATTGAAGGGACTTCCCTAAACTGGAAAGGTAATTATCAAGTGAATCTGCCATCTCCCTGCAAAAGGCTATGCTGACACTGCATCACTACGTGGTTATTCTGAGCCGTCTCTCTCATCCTATATTGAGAAGAGGGAACAAGTATATAGTGTCAAGATGCACATACTTACTTCACAAGACACCTAGGTTAACTGTGTGCACCTTGATGAGATACACTTGTTTTCTTTGCTTGTAATGGGTTGAGTATGCTTACAAAAACTCAGAGTCTACAGGCATCTGGGTGTGAAGCAGTGTGCTAGGAGGCACTGAGGGCTACAAAGGCAGCTGAGCTGGCTCTTGTGTTGCCTTCCCACACCCTATTCTGGTATATACTGCACAGCCATCTCTTCTACATGTTCTGAGAAAAAGCAATTGTGTGTTTTTTGTGGGACCTCACATATAGGTGGCAATCACAGGTGCATTTCAGGAAAAGAATTAAATTTTCTGCAAGAAGTCATTAGGAAACTAAATGTGATGTTTTAAAATTTTTCCTAAATATAATCACCTGGGTCATACCAAGGTTTCCATGAAAAATGGAACCCATATTTAATAGTAGTCCCACAAGGTTATATTGGAGCTGAAAAAGTCTGGTCATCTAGTGATGTTGGAATCATGCTGAAGTCATAATACGATGCACTCCTAACATTTGTGCAGTTGTGTTGGTATAAACAAACCTACCTGATTGCCAATCATGTAATAATGTATAGCACATATGGTTATGTCCAGTACACAAGGCTTGTTAATAAAAGATTATCTTACTAGTTCATGTATGTACTATACTTTTTATTGATGTCTTGAGTGTATTCTTATTCTTTGTTAAAAAAAAACATTGACCTAAAACAGTCCCCTCTTGATTGCATCAATAAGCCATGTGGAGTGGCAGGCCCAAGCCATCTAGGTCTGTATGAATACACTCTGATTCACTTCTCAGAACTTACCTCCATCAGTAAGTGATGCAGGACTGCAGGCTCCATTTTCCCCTTGTCAAATAACATGCACACAGTAAATGTATTAATTTCAAGTATGTGATTTAGTAGATTTTTACAAACAATTTGTATCCATGTAACTACCACTCAATCAAGACATCAACAGTCCCACAAATTCCAGAAGTTTCCCTTGACCTTTCACAGTCAACACCCAGACTTCCCAGGGTAATAGCTCTTCCCACTTGTGTCACCACAAAAATAGTCTGTTCCTGAAGCCCAGATAGATGCAGTCTTACAGGGTGGAATTCTTTTGTGGGTTTCGTTTACTCAACACAGCATCTTTGGGGGTTGTATGTGCTGCTTGGTACAACAGTAGCTCATTCTTAAGTTTATATGTAATATTCACTGTGTAAATTATATCACAATATATTCATCCTTTGTCCCACTGATGGATATTTGTGTAATTTCTAGCTTTGACAATAATGAATATAGCTCTTGTGTCCATTTTTTGCCATGTTTTTATTGGAAGTAAACACTTCTCTGGGGTGTATATGAATAGGAAAATGATGTGTGTTTAGCAACACTGGTGCTGCCAAGTAGTTTTCCAAAGTGATTTTGCCATTTTATACTACTACCAGGAATGTATGAGCATTTCAGTTGTGTACAACCTTGCCAACACTTGGCTTTCTCTATGTTTAAAATATTTTCAGTTCTAACAAATGCAAAATGTTATTGCACTGTGTTTTAAACCGATATTATCCTAATGACTAATAGTGCTGAACACTTTTCTATCTGGTTATATCCCTTCATACATTCTCCTTTATGTAGGGCCTATTCAGGTCTCTCAATTATTTTACCTTTCCTTATTGATAGAAATTCTTCATATATCACAAATGTCAATTTTGGGGATTTTTGGACCCCATTATTTTGTCAGATTTTTATTGTTAAAATTCTCTTCCAGTTTGTAGTTTGACTTTGTATTTTTTTCCTGTCAAATTTGGATGACCATAAGTTGTTATTTGAAAGAAGTCCAATTTATTAGCATTTGTATGATTGGTCTTCTCTGTGTCCTAAATTTTTAAAATTTTACATGTCTAAAGGTCAAAATTCTTTCCTAGGTTTTATTTTAGAATACTTCACCAAAAGGCCTAGAAGTGATCTTTTAGAATACTTATTAATGTTTTTCACATTTTAAACTATTTTCTATCCTACATTAATATTTAAGTACAGTGTAAAGTAGCTATCAAGATTATTTCATGTAAAAATTTAATTGTTCTAATATGACATGAAAAAGATCTTTTTATTACTGAGATGTGCTTCTGTCATAAATCACGTGACTAGATATGCGTGGATTTGTTTCTGGAAGTATTTCTAGAGAAAAATAATTGAACAGCTTTTTGCCTTTTGAAGCAAGAGCTTGCTACCTATACTGTAGATAGTTGCTTTAAAACTCAACATTTTTATTTATTAGAGCTACATTTTAGAAAAACCTTTGAGCTCTGAAAGGAAATTGGGTGCTGTGTTAATGCTGAATTAGAACATAAAAGAGACTTTGACTAATAATTCCTAATTGCTAGGAACTTACATTGGATTGAGAGGTAGAAGGAGAGAGAATTGGATGGGACACATCCCCTGAAGGCTAGGTGATTGGCCAGAAGCACTATCTAGGGAGGAAAGAATCAGCAGAGAGAGAGAGAGAGAGAGAGAGAGAGAGAGAGAGACAGAGAGAGAGACAGAGAGAAAGACAGAGAGAGACAGAGAAAGAGAGAGAACAAGAATGATGTTACACATATACTAAAATTGGAACGATACAGAGATTAGCATGGCCCCTGTGCAAGGATGACATACAAATTCATGAAGCGTTCCATATTTTTAGGACTTCTGTCTAAAATATATAAAGAATTTTAAAAAATCGAACCCCTGAAATTCAAAGACCCATTCTAAAAATGGGCATCTGAGAGATGAATACACAATTCTCAGATGAAGAAGTACAAATGGCAAATAAATACATGAAAAAATGTTCATCATCATTACTCATCAAAGAAATGCAAATTAAAACCACACTAAGATTCCATCTCACTCGAGAAAGAATGGCCAGGATCAAGAAAACTACCAGCAACAAATGCTGGAAAGGCTGTGGGGGGAAAAAGAAACTCTCTGCACTGTTGGTGGGCGTGTAGACTGGTGCAACCACTATAGAGGTCAGTCTGGAGATTTCTCAAAAAGGCTGGGATTGGAAGTCCCATTTGTTCCAACTATTCTGCTTCTAGGCATATTCCCAGAAGAAATGAAAACATCATACCACAGTGATACATGTGCGCCCATGTTTATAGCAGCACAATTTGTAACAGCCAGATCTTGAAAACAACCAAAGTGTCCATCAGCTGAAGAATGGATAAAAAAGTGTAGTATTTTTATACAATGGAGTACTACTCAGCTATAAATAATGATCACGTTAGATATTTATAAATAATTGGATGCAACTTGAGACCCTACTCGTAAGTGAAATAAATCAAACTCACATGTATAAATACTGTATAGTCTAGTGTAAGAAATGATGAGTACATAAAAGTTTATGGTAATCATGAGTCCCCATTACATTGCTTTGAAGCCTTATAATGTTTCCATTCATTAGTTGGAATGGTTTTATCCTGAATTGTTTAATTTTATTATCTGAGAAAACAAGACATTATAATAGCCAGTGCTGATTTAATATCATCTTGTTTTGAAGTCCTACCATACTTTTGTTCTTCTGTTTCCACTGGTTCTATCATATAATATCTTATTGGATTTTATTATGTGTGGTGTATAAACAAATTTTTTATGGACAATGAGATAATATAGTGACCATTGTTCACTTTCTGTTATTTGATTCTGAATGCCCTGTAATACTTTCATTCTCTTTAATGGTTTTATACTATTTTGTTATGTTTGATACTATTGTGTATGAAGGTATGCTCAACTATTTCAAGAAAAGAGGCATTATGGTAGCTACTGTTTTATCAGGTTACCTTGTGGTGAAATATTGTGTTGCTTAAATTGTTCTGATCTGCTTTGTTATGTCCTCTTTCTTCTTAATCTGTTTAAAATTTTAAAAAATTTTAAAAAAGACTGATATTGCTATTTATCCTAGAATTCCATGGTTGTTTCAAAACAGTCATTCAAGGGACTATGACCGCTACCAATGTTGAGCCATGTGAGCAAGAAAAGGATTTTTCTTGACTTTGCCTTCCAAGTCACCTATTTATCACCTAATACAAGTGACTCTCAAGCTCCAAACTGATACTCAGGGCCCTCATGGGCCCTGTCTAGTTACATGTCTTATCATTGAGACAACACACAATGCCTAACAATGCCTAGTTAAACGGGGAGAGGTTTATGTCAACTCAGTGTTTGGGAGAGTTTAGTCCATCATCAGCTGACTGAAAGGCAAGGTGGCACGGCAAGGAGGCATTGCAGAGAGAAACAGTCCACGACCTGGCAGGCAGGGCGAAGTAGCCAACCTGCCTCCCCTTCTCTCCCTTTATATTCCTTCTAGGCTACAAAGCTGATGGTTGGTACCACTGACATGAGGGTAGAACTTCTGTATTCAGTAAATGCATTCAGCCGTACCAAGAACTAAATCATCAGTGAACTAATTTAGTACCATGAACCCTTACTCCAGGATCATGCACCCATGACCTAACCACCTCACTAAAGCCCTACCCATGAATTCATGAGGCTTTGGGGGGACATCTAGATATATGTCATAACAGTCTCAATATATAGAGACAGTGCTATAAAAGCAATGCTTCTGAGGGAGTTTTGATCCTGTTAAAATAATGACAAAACAAATACTTTCAGCCCTTTTATTTGGATAGGACCAGACAATGGTGATATCTACATCCATTAAAAAATATTTAGCCTCTTGAACCCCAGGAAGAGAATCACCTCCATTATTAGATATCACTGAGAGAAGTGCTATACAGTGTTTATTGATCCTTGTCCTTCTGAGCTTATTTCTTTGTATCACAGAACTGGATGCTGAGAAACTATATTTCCCATGCTCCTTTGCCACAGACTTCCCATTCAGACTCAGCCAGTGAAAACAGTGATGCCAGATGGAGCTGGCAGAAGAGAATAAGCCCTTGGTACTCTCCACATGGCAGCAAGAAGTAGGCCTCTGGAGAATACAAGTGACAGCTACAGTGGGTTCCAGGAGCTCCTAGGATGTGCCTGTTTTAAGAATGCTACAGGCACTTTACAATGTCCTCAAAGATAACAAAGTTTTCCTGTGACCTGGACTTTACCAGCTCTTATAATGGTTTCTCAGGCAGATAATTTCTTGAATTAAGTCCTTTCCTGCTAAAATATTTTGCAGGATTTTTCTGAATAAACTTTGACTGATTTAGGAGGACACATTCTTAAAAAAAAAAAAAAAGAAGACTTTCAATAGTGAGCTGACCCAACCCATTACCACTTTACAGAAGTCACACCTTACACATATGCAGTGCACAGCTGTTGAGTGGTTGGCTTTGAATCTGCTTGCAGCTAGGTTATTGCAGCTAGTTCATCATCCCATCCAATTTCATTTCACCTATTTCAGTACTAAGTCAGCACTCAGCAAGTATTGATTGGACGAATCAATAAAACTCTGAGGCAGCTTGATACAGTAGAAAAAGTACAGAATTTAGGAAAAAAGATAAGTTCCTTAAGTTTTAACTTCACTACTTAAAAATTCTCTGATCTTAGGTAAGTTATTAAAACATTCACTAGCTATAACAAAAAATCCTATTTGTCTATTTCATAAGACTTAGTGAGATAGTGAATGTACTGACTTATGTTACAATTAGCTAGCAAATAGCTATTATTTTATTACTTCACACTTCTCTTTGAAACAATAACAGTTCAGTTGTGGTGTGGATCACTGTGGAGCAAATTCCTTCTCACTAATAAAAATTGTAATAACTAGAGTATTTTATATGTCATGCACTATTCTAATATATATGTATTCTCCACAATAACTGTGAAATAAATATTATTTTTGTTCTTTTTAATAGATGGAGAAACTGAAGCACAAGGAAGATTTACTTAAGTAAATTTCTCAGCACAGTTTATGAAATGAAATGATAGTCAGAGGATTTGAACCCAGATAACTTGGCTGCTTCCGACCTCTGCAAGAAACTCAGAAGCTGGACGAATAACAGAAATAGGAAAGTTGGATCTTTCAGCTCCCCACTAATGTGTTCCATTTGACCAGAAGACAAAAATCCAATCATTGTCAGCTGTCAGGCCACATTCTCAACCTTGACATTTGTGTGGAAAGAGACCCTGGAGAACAGGCTGCGAGCAGCAGCTGCCGCAGCCTCCACTCTGGAGGAAATAGATGGGAGACGAAAAGCATGGTCAGAGAAAGGCTGCAAACACAGAGTGCGCTCAGCGACTTCGCAGAATGAGCTTGATCCCAGCCAGGAGCGGTGCCGGCCCTGAGCTAGCCTGAGAGCAAAGGCCCAAGGCACACATGAGAGCTGCTGAGCTTGGACATCATCTGCATTCCTGGTGCCCAGGCGTATGAGACTGGAGATGCTCATCACACTTAGTGAAGGTCCCACCTCCAGATGCTTTCCCCTGGGATGCTAGGAAGGGGGGGGGGACGATGGCTTTAGATCACTGACCCCATTCCAGGTTGACATCTGGTGGTGGCGTCTTTGCCAACTCACTATCTCAGCCAGTGGAGATGATAACTTTCTTTTCACTATTAATGCAACCACTATAACCCGCTGTCATTCAGCTTTGTTCATTCTTTCAAAGAAGCAATAAAAGAAATAGAAACAATCCCACTCAGTGCTAGACAGACTTTTTAAAAGGCTGTTGGACTTTTGAAAAAAAAATACTTATCAAGTTTCATACAATAACTAAAATCACTGAGTAGAATGATTAACTAAAATGGTCAAGTCTGGAGAGAAACCTTGCTTAGAGTACAGAGAATGAGTGGATTGGGCCTTAGATATTGAGCCTCAGATGAAGGGAAGGAATGCCGGGGTTGATTTGAACAATCCCAAATCCCAGGTTTAACAGAGTGGTCAGGGCTCAGGAGATGGATTTTGAGCACCATTTTTGTGGGAGTGACGTTAAAATGACAGTGTAAGATTTGATCTCAAGAGCAGTACTATAGCTGGCAAAGGCAAAGAACAAAGATTAAGTCTAGGTAACCCTTGTCCTATCTCCCTAACAATTCTAAGAATGTTTTAAAATTATTTTAGGGGATAGGATGTGGTGTTCAAATATTTAATTTATAATCTTCTAGTATCTTACCTATGATTTTTCTGTAAGTCTCTTGGAATGCTTTCTCAGTAAAGAATTGGAAAATTAGAGTAACTTTGTAATTAAGAGCTTTTAGAAAAATATGCATGGAGTCACACTGCTTTGTTGTATGTATTATATTATTCACTGGCTTTTTGAATTGTTTGTACTAAAAAATATTTCATACAAATTTGTATCATTTTCAGCTAAAATGATCTCTATTAGCTCGAGAAATTATGCATCTTAAATTTTCAAAATATAATTCCTACACACTTGGGTTTTCTCTATTAGTGTCCCTAGGTTAGAAATTGAGAATTGAAACCTAGGATGATGGTTTTAGATCACTGACCCCATTCCAGGTTGACATCCAAAGATGAGCTCCAAAGATGAGTACAGACATTTTATCCAAAATGAACTCCAAAGATGAGTACTAACATAGACTAATGGAATACAATGGTAAAATGAATTAATAGATAGTAAGGGCCTTGGCTAGCCTAAAGTCTGAGCTTATTAAATATGCATTTGATTGTAAGATATGCTAAATATCACCCACCCTTTCCTGTCCCTATGCCACTTCACCCCATCCTCAGGTCTACTGCATCAGTGGATTAACATGGAGGGGGCTTGCTGCCTACATGTCTTTTTAATGTGATTCAAATATATGCAACCAGTTTTGAAGGGGTGAAGAAGTAGGGGATATGTAGGGAGGAACAAAGGAGGTCCAGGGAGAGCTTATGGCATGCGTTAAATAGATAATACAGGCCTGCCAGCCAGACCCTCCAACAAGCTCTGCCTGCAGCTCCAAGCGCTATTGGTATTTCTGGAACACACAGCACAGTGTTCAAGTATGAAATCCTCCACATCCCTGCCTCCCTGGGGGAAGTTAGTCCATTTCTTGAAGAACAGGAACTGGGAATGTAAACTGATAGGCATTGCAATAAACCTCATACTAATCCAAGGACTGAGGATCCATGCTGTGGGGCCTCACCATCACCACCATCTGAAGGTGACAGCAGGAGCGAATGTTTTCCTCTCTAATTTACAAGAAACTGTGAAGCTGTCAGGTGCTGCAGTGACTGATAGTACTGCTGGACAGAATGGATTAGCCTGAGCAGGCAGAGATCCACTGCAAAAGGTCCAGGTCAAAGGCAGGAATGTGACTCAGGGAGGCAGAGTCTGCAGGAGACTGCAGCTGCAGATGACAAAGGCCAAGTCATGGTGGTCCAGGTCAGGACAGGGGTGGGCCAGTGGACAGCAGAGATCCTGGGAGGATGCACATGCGACCAGAGGGAGCAAAAAGCAATGTCCCCAAGGTGACTCAATGATAGATATGAGTCATTCTTTAGGATATATGTAGGCAGAATGGCATGCAAAACTCTATGAACAGTTAGAGGCCTTGGGGTTTCCAAAATATGGGCAGTGGTAGTCATAACACTTCTTTCAAGTCTGTAAGTTGGTATGTTGAGGATGTTTGAGATATGTGGGTCATAGAGTAGTTTAAAAGCAGCTATTTCCTTATTTCAGATATAAAACACACACACACACACACACACACACACACAAATTGTGGCCTGGAAGAACACATTTGCAATTAATTTAAAATTACTTAAATATTAATGGATGATTTTAAGATGCTTAAACATAGTTTGTTCTCGAATATCTTAATACTTGAACTCATTCCTTACCTCTGTAATTTATTTGCATTGTTAATTTGCTTAGCAAATATTCTTTAGGTAATGACATATTTGTACGTGTTTTTGACTTGTGCAAACATAGATGCTCAAGTTCTGCTCCAGGATAAATACTAGGCACCTGGAGACCAGAGGAGTAGGGTCATGGTATTCACAGAGGTCATCGTTTTTTAGAAGGGACAGGATGTCCACTGTATTTATTAGTCAGCAGTCTCAAGAAACCAGAACAAGTAGGAGGCAGCAGTGTGTGAATGTGTGTGTGTGTGTGTGTGTGTGCATAAATGCATGTGTGGTCCATCCACTAGATGCCAGTAAAACAAACACACAAAAAAAGACATAACAATCAAAATTGTCTCTAGACACTGATGAATATGCCCTGGGTGGGGCATAAGAATCACTGATCTAGATCTTTGCTCCTCAGTGCATAGCAGCAGAAACATATCCCTGAATCTTGTTAAATCTCGGGGCCCATCTAAAACCTTCTGGATCATTGTTCATATTTTAACCAGATGTCACATGATTTACATGCACATCAAAGTCTGAGAGGGACTCTCGATCTTGTGGAGTCCTGCTTCATCAGGGCACTATTGAGCAACTACTATGAGTAGGACATCCTTATCTTGCTCTGGGGGTAAACTGATGAGTAACATAGCCATACTCTCAGATCTCACTAACCACTCAGTCTGCACTTGTTCATTAAGCTAAATATGTTACCCAATTATTCCCTCATATGTGCATAAAATCGAATAATGTGTAGTCAAACTTATGATGCAGTTATATACTTATTTAAATGTACTGATGCGCAAACAGCATTTTGTTGTAAAAAAAGATTGTTAAATAGTACAATATGATCTGTTTTGCAGATGTAGATTAATTTAATTAAAATGGTGCACACATAAATCTATTGGAGTCCATAAACAAGAAAAATTTTAGTATGTTTTGGATAAACATGGTTGACTTTTATCTCCTTTCTTAAATATTTTCAGCATTTTATAAATTTTTACAATGAGCATATATTAATTTTAAAATTAGAAAAGACAAGAATCTTCTTTTTGATTTTTCAAAAGATGACCTTAACAGCTACATCTGCTTGGCTTCACATTCTGTTCCTTCAATAAGGAGGTTCAAAATTCATAAAACATGTCTTCACTATTCCTCTTTGGGCTGAAATTTACCTGTTCATTTATCAAATGGCAGGACCCGAAGTAAAGATACACACAAGTCTACTATAGTGCCTGCATTGGGGGGCCCCATGATCTCTGGGTGGGGTGGGGTCCCAAGTAAGGTAACAATAAACACACATCTCAGACAGCACCAGACCAGAAATCGCCAATCCCATTTGTGCTTCTCTTTGGACCCAAAGCTGGATTATGCTTCTCTGACTTTTTCATGGTTCATAAGTAAACACTTTGGACTCGTAAATAAATAACTGGGAGCACAAGTGATTACATGATGCTCCATGCACAACCCTAAAAACCTCTTGGTGCAAGCTACCATGCCTTTTACTTGTGCCACATTGTCCGAGGTGGACCATGAAGCAGATGGCAGAGCCACAGGTGGAAGGACCCAGGATCCCGGAGTCATGTACTGAAATAGAGCAGGCTGCCAAATGGGAGCATATTTTGGACACTCTATAAGCAAGAAATAAACTTTGACTACATTTAACCATGACACACAGTGGGGGGGGGTTGTCACAGCACTTGCATGCAGTTTTGAATGAAGCACTGCTGCTGTTGTGTGGAGAAAGGAGAAGCAGGAAGTAATCAGTGTGAGAGCAATCCTCTACAGGAGGACTGGTTGGAATGACTGAACCACCATTAACTGGAGTTTCACATCTAGGCTTTTGAGAGTGTGTAAATAGAAAAAGGCTAGACATTTGGGCACTGTCTGATAACTAACTGTGTGGGAGAATGAATTTAAAAAGCCATTTCTCTTCTCTAGAAAAAATAGTCTGCAGCGGGACGCTGAGGTCACCGATCACTGGGCAGAGCTATCCTGTCATTTCAGCAGCAAGTTGTGTGTAAAGTGCTACCAAGCAATCCCATTAGAAGGCCAAGTTTTCTTTTTCACTTGATTATAATACCTCGTCCATTCAAAATTGAGTTAGCTTGAAACTTGGCACCAGGCTTGTCAGACCAGATGTGGAATTTTATTGTCAGGGAAAAAAAAGTTTAAAAGTTTCCAGTAATCTTGAGGTTGTTGAGATTTAAGTTTAGGTTACTGAAAAATTGAACCAGTAGAGAGAAGTTCAATTAAAAATATAAAATTTTGCAAATTTACTATTTTAAAAATTATGACTGTATATACATTCAAAAGCCTTTGAAATAACAGCCAAAAACAAAAGCAAAAGACTGCATGCTAATAAACTGTTTGGGTGGGCCTGAGAATGTTCCTTTTCCTTTCTTTCCACTTAAAGGAAATCTTAATGTTAAATAACAAACCTTGACCCAAGATAATTTCTCTGCTTTTCAGTTTCCTTTTTGAAACTTTTACTAAAAGAGCCGGCAGTATAACCTGGGAGATATCTTGACAACCAACACTTCCCTTTGGGTGAGGAAAAACGACTGTTATCACAACAGGAGATGAGCTTTGCACTAACACATCTGAACAGTGCCGTGCTCAGTACAGTTGTGAAATGCAGGAGCTGAAGACAGAGTTAACTAAAGCCAGGAGAAACTAGAGAAACTAACACTTTCAAGTAAAGGACTACGTTTGTCAGGACCAGAGAACGGTCAGGCCATCCAACACATCAACCAGTCAGCATTAAAAAAAAAAAAAAAAAAAAAAAAAAAAACGAGGGACAGAGTGGGTATGGACAATGTCACTAGGAGAAACAAGAGGAGAGGTATTTAAAAATTTGGCAAACTATCAGAAAGCATCGCACAAGTAAATTACAAACCCCTCCTAGAGCTTAAGCAGAGACAGTGCTATTGAGAAGCATGACTGCTCCAGGAGGCCAACCGCAGACCCCTGGAAGCCCTGCAGACCACCGGGGAAGCTAGGACCACCCCTGGAGGACCACTGGGCTGGCGGGTAACTCTGGGAGCCCAGAGGTAGCACTCCATGGTCACAGCTCCTTTTATTGCCCGAGAGACACAATGATACTTACCACCCATTCTGGGAGTCCGCAGGGCTTAATAAGCTCATGTGTGTAGGCACCAAAATACTTGGATAAAAGACTAAAATCATATTATTTCTGGCTTGGAATGTTCCCTTTTAAATTCCTTCTAATTACAGTGCCACCCTTGTAGATACAGACCACAGTGAGGCCCTGAGCTGTATTATAAACTTATTACCACCTAATAAACCCCTGTTCTTGGCATTTTCCTCCCTAACACGTTTTCTTTCAACCTCACAGCTTTCTGAATTCTGTCCTGCCAGCTTCAGTGGGAGGCTCAGAAGGCTGAAACTGGATGAGGACCACTACAGAGGCAGGTCTGACCACTTCATGTCAAGAGGAAGGAGCAAGTTTTGGAGGATAGCATTGTAGATTCTGAGCTGGAAGTTATACTCACATGAATGACTCTTGCACCTCACTTTTCAGACCCTGGGGTCCCTGGGGCTGTAGCCATCACACACAGAAACTAAAACTAATGGGCAGTTTTCTACTACCTCCCCTAACCCACCCTGCCACAAATGCAGCATGAGTTGAATCTTTTAAGTTGCAAGGAGTTTGTATTTGACATTTTCTAACACTTCTTGGGATGAGAAGCCAAGAGGACATATTGCATAGCAAAATCACTGTACAGGTACTTCATTATTTTACATTTAATGCATAGGTAACTTGTGGATTTCCAGAAGGCACACCATGCTTCCTGTACACTGCTACCTGAAGACACAAGCGCATCTGTACTGTCCCTGCCTGCAGGCTTCCTCTCCCTGGATTTGGGCACTCAGAGAAAGACTTCACTTTGACTTGATTTGGAGGAGAGACACCATGAGACACAGGACACTAGAGTGCTGTTTCCAGATGAGTCACAGGAGCTCTGGGCCCATTCTGGAGAACTCTTAACAGAAACAGGCTTCATCTAGGCCTCAGAGCTGCGAGCTTTGGGAAAATTGGCTGCTTGGATCCTTTTTTTTCCTAAAGGCACCACTGACTATAGCCAGTGTGATAGTTGCTGACAGCTTCTTGTACAGCACTTGTGGAACAGCAAAGAAATAAAAGGAGATAAACGTCGTGGATGTCCCATGGCAGCTGTTAAAAACTCACAAGTGGGTTTGAGATCTATACAAACTGATCTTTGAAACTTTTGTGTGTGTGCGTGTGTGTACATGTGTGTTAGAGGTGGGGTAAATGGAGTGGTTGTTGGCTTTAAGGGAAGCGATGCTGACTAGCTTGCAGGCAAGAGTACAAACAAGGTCTTTCAGGTTCTTAGTTGGTACTATAATGAACCCCTGGCTCATTATTAGCTCAGCTGTGCTGGTAGAGCCTGGGACCCATGAGTTACATAAAGTTAACACTTCTCTCAAAGATCACAGTTTCTTTTTCACAAACAATAGTAGCATCACTGGGACGGAGCATGCTATGACTCCTCCCTACAGGCACAGCAGAGAGAAGACTGGCCAGAGCTCTAAGAAGAGATTAGTCCAATGGATACTGGCAAAAAGCAATATTTTTGTATGTTGGAAAACTATCTGTGTTTGAACCTGGCTTTTCATGCAGTGCAATTTGGGCCAAACTACGTAACCTCCTGGACCTCAGTTTTTGTTGTTGTTATATGGATATAAAAACATCAAACTCACAAAATTTACAGGAAGAGTATTCATTTAATCAAGAATATTTAGTAAGATCAATTATATGTCAGGCACCAGAGAATGATAAATAAAAGACAGTATCTCTTCTCAGATGGAGATTATCTATCTGCTGGTAGAAAACATGCAATAATGTATAAAAATTACAGTAGCACAACACTTTTAAAAAAGTTTTTATAGACAGGAGTTCTATTATTGTTTTTCATGGCTACTATTTTCATTCACGCCCATGGTATAGAATCTCCATGATGACAAGGAATTTCACTCATTTGGGCATTACTAAATAGCATTTAATAAGCAACCAAGAAATATTCGCTGAGTGAAAATCAAAATATTCCTTATCAAGTGTTTTTAGCATTTTGCTTAGCTCTTGCATAAGTAAACATTTTTTAGGGCGAAAATACCTACCTTCACCCATAGGTTATGTACTTGACTTGTTAAAATGATGCTTGCCTCTGAAAAATATTCCTTAAAATGTTTCTATGCACCCACACTCCCATATTCACACTTTACAATCCAGTTTAGTAATTGTTGGTACACATTTTTCCTATCCTCTGAGTAACCTCTACAGCTCGATAGGATTCCCAGCACAGACTGCTTTCAGCAGTGAATGTGCACCAGGTGTGTCTTCTCTGCCGCACCTGTGACCCCTTGCTTGACACATCTTGTTTTCTGTGGGAAGCATTCTGATCCCAGATGAGTGATGAAAGGTGCACAGGTGCTGGAGCCAGGGCTGCCAAGTGGAGGCGAAGTGTGTTCTACTGGAGTGCGAAGGGCAGTGTTCATGGAAGCCCAAGTCACCTTCAAGGCAATGGCAGTGGACGTGGAAAGAGCAGAAGGCTATCGGGGTTTGGTGTAAATGCTTATCTATTTCAAACTGGCAATATCATGGCAGCTTGGGGAGAGTAGGTATGGAGGAATGGGCATGATTTAGGGGCAGCTGTACACCTGGTAACTTCAAAGACCATGGCTAGTTGTATGATTTCAAGAGATTTCAAGAGATTTCAAGCTACAGAGGACCCATTGCTAATGATGAGGAAATACCTCTTCAAAGGGATGGTGCTCTACTCTATGGGGCAGTACTCCTAAGTGCTGTGGACTCCTAAGTGCTCTCCTCTCCTGTAGCATAACCCCTGCGGAACACAGCAAGCTGGGAGGTCAGTCACTAGCTTAACCCATGAAAGAATTATTCAGCAGTGCTTCCAAAAACTCAAGGGAAAGCATGTAGCAGATCTCAAAGTAAACTAGAATCTGAGGGATAAAACTCTAAGGAATTTCTTCTAGCTCTTCTTCATGGAGGATTTGCTCTCTATTCCTTTTACACAAGGACTTCTGCTTCCATGGACAATTGCATAAAAGACATAACCCAATGGCATCTACCCCCTACCCCCAGGAAAGGATCCCCTTCGTTTCCTGTGGCTAAGAAAACCTGCTCTTATGGCTCAACCTGGGCTTGGTGACTAATTTGGACCTGTGTCTAAGAGTTGATCTGCATCCTACAGACATGAGTGTCAGGAGTCGTGCTGTGGAATGGAAGGGAGAAACAGAAAAAGGTTGGAGGTGTGGTGGAGGTGAATTGCAAGAAACATGACCAGTAGGTTTCTATCACAGTTTTTAATTTAGAGCCTGGCCTGAAAAAATACACTGACTAGTATGTCATCTGAAAGCAGACCTCAGGTTCTTAGCCACAGACTCAAGCAGACAAAAGTAACCCTCAGCATTTCAGACTTGGGTTCTTGTTTTTGCTTTGGGACCTGAGGCCCAGCCTTCTCTCTGGACATCTGTTTCCTCTTTGGAAAAGTGGAGAAACTGCATTAACCTCCTTCTACATAAATCATCTCAGATCTTTTAACAATTCCAATGTTTATATACCATTGACAAGAAGACTGATTGGGAAACTTAATTAGAAAAGCACTTCACTTCTTACTGGAGATACAAACACTAACATCTCAGATGAGAGGTTCTGATGGGGTAATATTAATATGTCTGAAACCAAAAGATAAGGAAAGGAAATTTGATATTAATTCATACATGCAGTTTTGTTGGTAAACTTCTAAATAGAATCCATTTAGGGTAAATAACAATAGCATGAACAATAACAACAAAAACTATTTTCTTAGATAATAATATTATTTTTCACCTGCCAGACTCTGAGCTAAGGCATCATTTAATATTTTGTTTCATTGTAATACTAATATTATGAAGCAGGTACTACTTTTCCTTCTCATTTCACAGATAAAGGACCTTCAGACTCACTTCAAAAGTCATCTGGTAGGGAAATGGCACAACTACATTTCAAGTTCACCACTTCTGTTGTAAAAGATGGAAACTATTGCTGTAGCTGCTCTGTGACTCTTAAATTAAATGAAATGTGAAATTAGTAAATTACAAAATTATGCAATATGATGTTGGTGTGTGTAACATATACAGTCCCTTTTATCTCCAATATTCCACACATCCATTGCATATAGAGGAAAGATACAGTGCATCTGAATGTTTAAATGTCTACAGGACACAACAGTGTCTCAGGCCCAGGGGCAGCACATGGAAAGCTCTCACTAGCACAAGCATGACTGTATGAGGGCAAACATTGAAGTTTTATTGGCTTTGAGAATGAAAATTCAAGCCTTGATGTTTTACTGCTTGGGCCATGTGGTTTGGGAGGTGCTATTGCTGGATGTGTAGGTGTGTGATTGTCCACGTGTGCACACGTGTGTGTAGGGCTGGGTGTTTTCCAGAGTGAACAAGGAAGATTAACTTTCAGCGTTTGGCTCCCCCTAACCTATAGCAGATGGGCTCTGGCTTTAAATTCTCATAAAGTCAACCCTTGGAGACTTGTTAAATAATTTATCCTCAACTTTGAAAGAGCAAAGAAATAAGGTGATTAAGAAAAATGGAAAGCCATATGATAATGTGCCACTGATGGAGTAGGGTTGTCTTTCACTGCAGTACATAGCAAGTACAGCAGTAAATGGACCCAGAAGGGGTGGGGGTGGGGTGGAGGACTTGGGCCTGGGTATGGGAAACCCTTAGAACAAACAGCTCCTGTCTTTGTCCCCAGCAGCTGCAGCAAAGAAAGTGAGAAAATCTCCATTCTGGACCCAGGGCCCCAACTTTAAGACATATTGAACCATGCTAATTTTAAGGTCACCCAATACAACCATTTTATTTTATCCAGCTGTGAGGCCTGACTATTGGTTGGGAAAGGAGAGCCAGAATGAGAGGGAGGGAAGAGCTGGAAAAATAAATCCACAAGATGCCTATGAGTACCTGCTTTTAAATCTAGGGTGTGGGAGATGTAGTGGACTCAGATGGGTGATTTACCATAGACCACCACTTCTTGCAGCATTGAAGTGACCCCCTTACCTGTTCCCTACTGTCACAGCTGGAGAAGTAAAGTTCCTTCAGGTGTGAACATGGACCTTGTTACTCTCACTCTCTTTTTGTAAGGTGCCTTGGGCAAAGCTCACTCCCAAGACTCTCACCCATCCACTGAGACAACTTTATGTGGGTGTGTGATTGCCAGGATCAGTGGTTGCAAATGACAGAAGCTATTTCTCATTGCCTTACACAGAAAAGAAATATGTTGGAAAGAGATTGGATAACTGAGAGAACTGAAAAAGAACTGTGCTAGGAGAAGGAAGCACCAATAATGTACAACTGATCAGGGAATTGATGCTGGAAACACTTCTGGGGTCATGCTACAGAGAGGCCTAGATGATGCTGCACTTTCCCTGAAATCCACACCGTTAATCAACTCTTAATCCTGCAGGTACCAAAGAATTAATCTTTATCCACCTACCTTTGAGTTATTAACTTCAGATAGACAGTCCAGGGCAGTCTTGTTCTTCTCCACAGACACGAGGCTGTATGGCTAACAGAGAAGGCTGACTTGCTTCTGTTCTGTAGTAAGAGGCAAATGCCACCTCCAAGATATTTTGGGAGGCTCAGAGGTTGGGAAGAATGTTGACATAGTCACAATGAGGCTTTCTCTTACATTGAGATTTCCATCTTCCCAAAGAAGGATAAAGAATGAGAAGATCCCAGTATCATGACTAGTTTAACTGATATACAGTATATCAGTCAAATTCCCCATTACAGAGATATAATACTTGACAGTCACAGTTTAAAGGAAGAAAAGTTTATTTTGGTTCAGTTCATGGTCAACAAGTTCCAAGGCAGAACCACTGTGGAGAAAGGTCATGGCAGAGGAAACCTGCTCATGCAGTAGTGGCCAGGAAGCAGAAAGAGGAGGGAAGAGTCAAGGATAAGAATACACCCTCCTAAATTATGCCCCCATTGACCTACTCCTTTTCACCAGGCCCATCGCCAACTTTTAGGGAACACTTTAAATCTAAACCATAATAGATAGTGTACATCACATATGTACCAGGGGGTTTGGTGTTCTCTGATCTAGTTTCAAA